AGATAGATAGATAGATAGAGAGAGAGAGGGAGAGAGAGAGAGATAGATAGAGAGATAGATAGATAGAGATAGAGAGATAGAGAGAGAGATAGATAGAGAGAGAGAGAGAGAGAGAGAGATAGAGAGTTCATACATGAACCTGTTTTTCTGGGTGGGGTTCTTGTAGTTCTCCTGCCCCTGGTTTCTTCAGCTTCGTGTTCTCACTCCTGCACTGCGACACATGAATTTGACTCAAAAACAGGTTATATGTTTCATATGTAGATTCTGGTTTCATCAAGTCATTATTTGTGGCACATAAATGTGCGTGGCAAATAAACTAGTGATGTCCGATAATATCAGCCGACCGATACTTTTCCTCCTCTCACACCCCCTCCCATACCCGTAACTGTTACCTCCATCATAACACATGAACACAGAACATTATGAACGATAACAAGCCTCCAGTCACTAGATGGCAGCATTGTAGCTCATTTTATGAATCTATATTGATAATCCGGGGATTGTATGCACAATGCTGGTGCCAGCAACTCATAGAGTACTTTGAAAATAAATAACTAATTATTATATATATTTCAGCCTGAATACAATGAGCTGCACTTGTATTCTGATGTATGAAACATTTGTTATACTTCTATGGAGAAGAAGCTGTAGGAAAAAGAGCAGTACAACAGGTAAACATTGAAGTACATGTACCAAGTCCGAGTACCACCAGTGGTACGTGCATCTTGGATTGAGAACAACTTTTCTTCTCTCTCCTGAATAGTTCTTAATTATGTAAGAGTGTGTGTGTGTGTGTTGAGGGGGGTGTGTTTTTACCTCCTGGTAGACCGAGGTCAGGAAACCCCACTTGTTGGGCCAGACCTCAGAAGAATCCTTCTCCAGTTTAACGTGTGCTTTCCTTCACGCAGATAAAATCATGGATGACATAATCAGATGAAACAGTTCCACTCCGAGTTTTAATATGATTTACCAGATTTCATCCTGATGCACAAAGTTGATGGGTTCAGATGCTCGCTTTCCTTCTGCCATCTGTCCTGAGGAGTGAGCGAATGAATGCGTGTGAGTGTGCATGAGTGAGGGAACGAGGGGGTAAGTATGTGCATGTGTGTGTGGGTGTGTGTGTGTTTAGGATTATACTGAGATGTGAGGACCAGTTCTGGTTTAGAATGTCCATGATAGTCAGAACACGAGGACCTTAAGTTGAAAAGTACTTCTATGATTTGAAACTACATTTTAGTATATGGTTAGGACCAGGATGAGGAACAGGGTGGAGTTGGAGTAGAGGCAGGGGGACACATCATGTCCAGTGGTAGTCCTCACAAGGACAGAAAGTTAAATGAGTGTGTCCTCTCCCTCTCTCATCCCAGCTAATGTTTCACCTGCGTGTAAGTCACACTGACAGACCTGTTTACTGTTGTCACGGAGACTGGATTCCCTGACACATATCTGCTCTCCGGTGGTTGGTTGTAACCATGGAGCTGTTAGGATGGACATGGAGTTTTGTTTGAGGTCTGAGTTGCACTGAAGACGTGACACAGGACAAACACAACTACAGTACGCTTGATGACACTGGAACTCACTGACACTGGAACTCTCTGATGGAACTGGAACTAGGATATGATACATAAAGTCTTTAACAATTCTTTTCTGCAGCTGACTCCAGCGTACAGGGCTGGAGACATGTGAGACAGGTCACCAGTAAATAATAATCTGAAAATGGACAGAAAGATAGAGTGAAATGTTAGAAGTTAAAAAAATAAAAAGAAGAAGTAGAAAAAGACTGAAAAAGATCATATTTATTATGGATTGGTACAGATGATTGGATGATAGACTTCTATAGTGAAAGTAGCGATGAAGAAGAAGAAGAAGAAGCAGAAGAAGAAGAAGAAGAAGAAGAAGAAGAAGAAGAAGAAGAAGAAGAAGAAGAAGAAGAAGAAGAAGAAGAAGAAGAAGAAGAAGAAGAAGAAGAAGAAGAAGAAGAAGAAGAAGAAGAAGGAGAACAAGAAGAAGAAGCAGAAGCAGAATTAAATGTATTTAGGATTTATACAGCAATACCACTACTTCTAAAAAACATAATAATGACTGAGCCTTAAATTATAATGCATAATAATATCATATAATAATAATAATATTAATAAGATTTTTAAAACATTCGCGACCCAAGTCAATAAAGATTATTGTAAATTTATGATGCGAGACGATACCACATGAACACATAGTGAGTCACGTGTGGTGATGGCGCTGTTTTCAAGAGAAACTTGCTGTCTGTTTTCTGAAAACATCACAATGGATAAGAAGTTATTTCTATGGGTCTGAGTTTTCAGATCTGGATCATCACATGATCCATCAAATTTATTATATTATTGATCCCGCAGGGTTTTTTCCCCCCCTGTTTTCAACCTCTTCAAGTCAACAGTGAAGATAAGATATCTGTGTGTGTGTGAACATCATCCAGCAGCAGCAGCAGATTTATGGACTGTTGTGACTCCACACACAGACTCTGGTGAGGAACAGACTTATCTCTGATCACAGTGTCATAAACTTTGAGAACATTCTTCTCTGCTTTTACACAACGTTATAGATGTTGTTTAAGACATGACCTGATCTTCTGTTAAAGAGCCATTTTACTGCTTTGCTGTTGGCAAGCAAGTTGAAAATCTAGTGTGATGTGTAAAATTCTTTAGAACCCCAGTCCGATATAATCTGTACTCATGATATTGATTGATTGGATGCTTGTAATGTGATTATTTTTTAAAGGTTAATTTAATGATAATTTGATTTTGATTTTCATGGAGACTATGCAAATGAATGGGTGGATAGATAGATGGAGGGATGGTAGATGGATGGATGGATGGTAGATAGATAGATAGATAGTTGGATGGATGGATAGATGGATGAGTAGATAGATAGATAGATAGTTGGATGGATGGATAGATGGATGGGTGGGGAGATAGATAGATAGATGGATGGGTAGATAGATGGATGGATGGTAGATGGATGGATGGATGGTAGATAGATAGATAGATAGATGGATGGATGGTAGATAGATAGATAGATGGATGGGTAGATGGATGGATAGATGGATGAGTAGATAGATAGATAGATAGTTGGATGGATGGATAGATGGATGAGTAGATAGATAGATAGATAGTTGGATGGATGGATAGATGGATGAGTAGATAGATAGATAGATAGTTGGATGGATGGATAGATGGATGGGTAGGTAGGTAGATAGATGGATGGGTAGATAGATAGGTCAGATGAGCCACAAGTTGCAGACTCCACAGTGTGCCAAGTTGTGAGCTTTTTTAAAAGCACTGCCGAAACACGGGATTGAACCAGGGACCTTCAGATCTTCAATCTGACGCTCTCCCAACTGAACTATTTCGGCTGTCTGTCGCTGCTTAACTGAACTTTTCAGGTTAACTACCAACCACTTTGCATCTTCTATTTTACAGTGTCAATGGTCTTTTAAGGCAGGGGGGTCCAACCCCCGGTCCGGGGACTGGTGTAAGTCCTTGGATGGATGGAAGGAGGAATGGATGGGTAGATAGATAGATAGATAGATAGATGGATGGGTAGATAGATAGATGGATGGGTAGATGGATGGATAGATGGATGGATAGATGGATGGGTAGATGGATGGATAGATGGATGGATGGGTAGATAGATAGATAGATGGTAGATAGATGGATGGGTAGATAGATAGATAGATAGATAGATGGATGGCTAGATGGATGGATGGATGGGTAGATAGATAGATAGATGGTAGATAGATGGATGGATAGATGGATAGATGGATGGATGGGTAGATAGATAGATAGGTCAGATGAGCCACAAGTTGCAGAGTTGACAGTGTGCCAAGTTGTGAGCTTTTTTAAAAGCACTGCCGAAACACGGGATTGAACCAGGGACCTTCAGATCTTCAATCTGACGCTCTCCCAACTGAGCTATTTCGGCGGTCTGTCACTGCGTAACTGAACTTTTCAGGTTAACTACCACCCACTTTGTATCTTCTATCTTACAGTGTCAATGGTCTTTTAAGGCAGGGGGGTCCAACCCCCGGTCCGGGGACTGGTGTAAGTCCTTGGATGGATGGAAGGAGGAATGGATGGGTATATAGATAGATAGATGGATGGATAGATGGATAGATGGATGGATGGATGGGTAGATAGATGGATGGGTAGATAGATAGATGGATGGATGGATAGATGGATGGGTAGATAGATCAGATGAGCCACAAGTTGCAGACTCGACAGTGTGCCAAGTTATGAGCTTTTTTAAAAGCACTGCCGAAACCCGGGATTGAACCAGGGACCTTCAGATCTTCAGTCTGACGCTCTCCCAACTGAGCTATTTCGGCTGTCTGTCAATGCTTAACTGAACTTTTCAGGTTAACTACCAACCACTTTGCATCTTCTACTTTACAGTGTCAATGGTCTTTTAAGGCAGGGGTGTCCA